TGCCTCGTGGATCTTGGCATGGCCCCTCTGGGAATTTCCCCATCACCTCCTCCCAGCCCCCACCCAGCTGGCTTGGTGGCTGACTCACCCTTGGTCTCCTCTCCAAAAGAGGTTGGGGCCCTGTGCAGAGGGGAGGCTGCGCCCAGCACCTGTCCTCCGCTGAGGGCTCTCAATAAAGCCATGAGCATCTGGGGGCCGCGTGCACAGGTGAGTGGCGGAGGCCAGGACATGGTGCGCCCAAGTGTCCCACGCCAGGCTGCAGCACGCCCAGGCGAGGGCCCGGCTTGCAGCGTTTTCTCCCGTCCCTGCAGGAGCCAGAGCAGCTCATTTCCCCTTGTGACTCTCTATCTCCCTCGCCTTGGGGAGATCGTGCCCTGCCCAGTAGAGAGGTGCCGGAGCGACGGCCCCCCGTGCACAGGAGAGGGAAGGAGCCCGAGTGGCTCTGGCGGTGCCCAGCAGCGCGGCTGACAGGCGTGATACGAAGCTATTTAGTGCATTAAATTGGCTGCTGTGACCTCGGGGTGGGAGCTGTGATAAGGAGCCCGGGGCCTCTGTCAGCGTGTCTGGATGCAGCTCCACATGGCCGACAGCCGGGCAGGAGCCTTTCCAGGCACAAGGCCCAGGGAGGGCTCCAGCAAGAACTTCCAGCCCGGTGAGTGCCAGGGAATGTCTCCAGCGGAGCTGAGGACACCCTCCCTCACCCCCCGGGGAACTCCCCCTCCAGCCAGGCCCCGGAGCCAACTCCTGCCCCAGGCACAGAGCGGGAGCACCCGGAGGGAATGGCCCCTGAACTAGGCACACAGGACTGGAAGGATCTCCTGGGTCGGAGTCCAGAGCCTGCTGTCACGGCACCCCCGCCCCTTCAGAAATCCAGCAAGCTCCAGCTTAACACCAGGCAGGTTTCTAGCTCCCACTGCTCCTGTGGGGCGGCTGGTCCTGAGCCTCACCCCTCTGCTGGCTAGACCCCTTCTCCACATTTCCAGCCTGACCTCGGGGCCACTTTACACCAATTTGGGCTGGGGCCTGCACGGACCTCTAGCTCCAACAGCTCTTTGCCCTCCCAGTGCTCAACCCCCTGCCAGCACTGACAAAACCCAGGGAAGGGAACTCAGCATCAATGTGGGAAAACACCACAGCAATGGCTCAAAAGCAACCACCCCCCCCTCAATAGCTGGGCAGGGTCCCCTGCCTCAGTTTCCCACAGTCCAACAGACAAATGTCCTTTTAACACCCCCCCCACACGCACCTTTTTCCTCCACAGCCCCCACTGCCCATGGTCAGCAAAGTCCCAGCATCCAGGGTGCACTCAGGGGGTTTCACCTCCAGCCCTCGGAGATGGGGGGTGGGCCTCAGGGAGGCGAGGGCTATCCTGCCAACACCTCTGCCACTTCTGGCCACCGCTCAGTGTTACGGCCACTCGTCCAGGCTCATCCCCTGGCTGGAACTGAGCCAAAACCGGATGTGGTTTTGTCCGGTATCAGATGGGGGGGGATGCTATTTTGAAAAGTGCAACGCTCCCCCCTGCTGGCGTGACCTTGCACCATGCATGGGGGCGGGAGGGAGACGGGCAGGGCAGGGCTCTTCAAAATGTCACGCCCCTGTACAGCATGACCTCGCACACAGTCCCATCAGTGGGGCAGGGTCACGGCGTTCCTGGAAGTACTGGAACAGCTGGTGTTCCAGGAACACGCGTGGCCACCGCACATGCCGCTGTCACGGCTGCCTCTGCAGCGCTCTGGGCCGGTACACACACGGCCGCAAGGGCACAGGCAGGTGTGACATGCACACGCACTATCTCACACGCAGGGACACAACGCCCACGTGCAACACATGCAAATCCAGCCCAGCCCAGCTTCTAAAAACAAGCCAGCTGACACGCCGCTTGGCCAGCTGTTTCCGATTGCATTGTGCCCATCCCCACCCCCTCCATCCCAGGCAGCCAAAGCACTGTACAAATCTTCAGTGGCCCCTCAACCCAATGGGCAGAGGGGAAACTGAGGCACAGAGCAGCAAAGCCACTCTCCTGAGGTCACACACTAAGTGGCAGAGCCAGGACCAGACCCCTGGTTTCCTGGCTTGCAGATCCCACTCCTCTCCTCCCCCCCCAACCTCTAGGTCTGCTCCCTTCCAGTTTATTATTAACTGTATAGAGAGGCCCCAGAGGGCTGCAAGCCCCCCTCACCTGCTCCCCAGGCCTTTAAGCACGAACCGAATTACACTCCCCTCCCCGGGGTCCAGGACAGGTCCAGTGCAGTGAGATCCGTGCCCAGCAATCCTGCTCCCACTGCAATTACTGAGCCTGCCGGGGTGCAGGGCTGTTGGCTGCTCACCAGGCCTGGGACCAGGCCTAGCAGCTTCCCGCTGCTAGGGGCATGGCCGGGGGCAACTACAGACCTCAGTGGCCAGGCTGGGGGTAGATACGGAGCATTGCATGCTGGAAGCTGTGGTCTTCAGGGCTTGTACTTACCCCGAGGGCAGTGGCAGACTGCACTGTGATGGCACCATCCTACTCAGAGCCACGAGTTCCAGCCTGGCGTGGCCATGACTGCTGGGAGCATGATGCCCCCTGCACTTGCAAATCCTGCGTGGGCCTGGGGAGCAGTGGGACCCCAACGAAGCGAGTGGTGCTGTGACCTGGTGCACAGGGGTTGCAGCTCCGCCCCAGGAGGGGCTGTGGGGGCCAAACCCTGGGTAGGCAGTAGGGTGGCCAGCGCTGCTGCTCCTCGCTCCTACACTGGGGCTTCCCCCCGGAGGCCTGCCTGGCCTCACCCCACTCCCAGCAGCCTGCGTCCCCTGGCAGGGGGCATTGTGGTGAGCGGGGCAGGAGTGCCGCCTGGGGGAGGTGTCCCAGCCTCTCTGTCCCTGCACTGCAAGCGTTCGCTGCCCCAGGCACAAGCTCCTGCAGCCTCACTAGCTTCCGACTTTTCTCTGGGGCAGCTGCTGCAAATAGGCCCTGGGCAGAGGGCCCCACCGGCAGTGGCTGCTGGACTCCGGCCCACCCCAGCCACACTCTCCTCGCGGGCGGAGGGCCAGAGACAAGCCACCTTCCTTGGGAACCATGACAACCAGGCCGTGCTTGTTTCCAGGACGCAGGGTGGGGTAGGGACAACTGTGGGAGCCGTGCTGCCACTCACTTGTCACTGCTGGCAGCAGGTGCCCGCTGCTGCAGAGGGCAGCGTGGGTGGGTGGAGGCGGCTGCTGGGTACGCAGGGCTCGGGGCCATTAGCATTCAGAGAAATGCAGCTGCTGTCACTCCTCGCCCGGGCTGCAGTTCCACTCGCTAGGAGCAGCCTCAGCCCCGCTCAGCTCTAACAATAGCTGAGGCTCCAGATCATTTAACCCCCAAGGCTAGAGGGAAAGGCCCAGGGCACCTAGCAGGCTGCTGCGAGCTGCCAAGTGCCTGGGAGCTCCCGGCACTCCTGCCCCTGAGCCTGCGTGGTTCAAGTGACAGCAGCAGGGAGGGGTGCTGCAGATGGCAAGGGCGCTGGAGGGGGTAGCATGGAGCTGGGCTGGAAGAACAGACCACATCCCCCAGAGGTGCTGCTTGTCTGGCCCGTGGCCAGCAGCCCAGCTCCTGCCCATTGGTAGCTCTGGGCACAGGGGGCCACAGAGATCGATGCCAGTGCTGCCCACCCAGGGCAGCTGACCACTCAGCCCGTGGGGAGGCCAGTCTGTAGGGGACAGGCCCCTGAACAAGGGTGGCTGCAGTAATGCCCCCTCCCCACTCCCACGGGGGTCCCCTGGGTGCTATGAACGGAGCTGCTGGCAGCCCTGCCCGGCGACAAGCACAGTGCACACAGCCCAGCTGCTCCGAGCAGGGGAGCTGGGGAAGGGTGGCGGCGGAGGGGCCTGACTGGAGCGAAGGCCTGGAGAGTTTAAGCTCTAGCTTTGCTGAGCAGATGCTGCAGGGGCCCACAGGGACAAGGCCCACGGCTCGTTAGCCTTCCAATAGCATTGCCATTAGCAGCTGTGTCTCTGCCCCCTGCCCCTGCAGGACACAGCCACCTGCGCTCCCGGCTCTGGCCCAAGGGAAAGGCGCTGCTCTGGAAGAGGGCCTGAAGCAGACGACCTGGGGACACGCTCCTCGTTAGGAGCGAACAAGGCAGGGGAGACTGGCCACCAGCCGGCCATGCAATAGGGACAGGGAGGCCAGCTGGCACAGAGAGCAAGGCTGGGGGCACACTGCCCTCTGGTGGAAACACGGCACCGGGACAGGCCTGTGCAAGGCACCAGGAAGCCAGACAGCCTGGGTTTTGACCTTTGGGGGTGGGGGAAGAGGCTTTCCCCCAGGGAGTGTTTATTCCTGGGGGAAGAAAGGGGCCAAGTTTGCTTTGGCCCAACCCAGACTCGGGCAGCCAGCTCTAGGCTCAGACTGTGCAGGCTGGGGGTATGGGGGAGTTGGAGATGGACCCATGAGCCAGCGCCCACACCCAGCTCCGGGACGGTGAGCGGTCCACGCCTCTCTCTGGAGAAGGGGATAACGCTGACCTACCTCACAGCGGGGGGTAAGAGTCATGGCCAGGTTCTGAGCACACCCCCGCCCGCTGGCTCGGCACCTCTGATCAGCAGGTCCTTGCTGTTTGTGAAGTGCTTTGAGATTCACTGGGAGGCCACTGAGCAGAGTTAGGCCCGCAGTTCATGCAGCACTTGCTGGGGGGCTACAGAGGGCCCCGCAGGCACCCGGGGCTGGCTCTCCCCCTCGTTTCCAGCTCCTCCACATCCATTCAGCACCACCTGCACAGAACTGCCCATGGAAGCCAGTGGGAGGCCGTCTGGTGAGGAGGCATGTCCAGGGCTGGTGAATGAGGTGGCGGGTGCACCGAGCAGGAGTGTGACAGCCCCTCCAGTCGGAGCCTGGCAGGCACGGGCTAGAAAGGAGCGAGGCCTCTGCCAGCTCTAGGAGCCCACACAGAGCATCCACCCGCCCCTGTGGTGCCGTGCAGCCGCCCTGCAGAGCAGTCAGCGTCTGCCTCCATGCGCTGCAGAGACTCCCCGACAACCAGGCCTTACTTCCTTTACTGACAGAGACTTATCAAAATTACAAAAAGTCATACAAAAAGAGCCCCCCCCCAATTCACACCCCTGCCCAAGAAGGTGCACCTCTGCCCACTGGCACATGCAGCAAAGGGACAAGGGACAGCTGCCCACCTGGCCTGGGCAGGTGACAGCCTAACGCAAAACCCTTTTCCAAAGGGGAGGGATGTGCTGGGGCCTCCAGGTGATTCCCAGCCTGCCAGGGAGTTGGCCACACCACTGGGGGTGGGGGGTGAGGGGGACAACCATGCAGCTTATCAACAAACAGTTCTAGCAGCAGGAGGCTCGACAGCAGCCTCGAGCTGAGTCCTACTGGGATGGCCGCAGGGCAGGGCTCCTTCCCCCAGAGAGGCCATCCTGAGTGGTCAGATTCTGGTGACTGCTCCTCTCTGGCCACCAGACTTCTGAACACAGCCATCCGCCTCCTTGCAATGAGGGAGAGAGGCAGCCCTGAGATGGGTGGAGGGACTCTGGCGGCAGCCCCCGTGTTCTTGCTAGGCCAGCGGCTGCTGGGTACAAAAGCTCCCAAGGGCAGGGGCCGCTGGCAGCTGAGCTGAGGGTCACAGCACTGCCAGGAGCGAGGAAGCCCAGCCCAGGGAGTGGCCAGCAGGACGGAGCTTCCCTATCGCCAGAGGACAAGGGAAGTGCTTTGGCAGTGCAGAACATGGCTGGGGAGGAGCCCCACCTCCCTGCCCCTTCCCAGGCCCTAGCCCAGGGCCCACTGGGAGCCCGTTATGCATCATTGGGGAGGCCGAAGAGCTTGACGGTGCCTGCCTCCCGGCTGCTGTCATATTTGCCGTCTTTGTCATCACAGGCGAAGGCCAGCAAAGGTCTCTTTGGGTGCCAGGCCACCGTGAAGGTGGGGGACTCACACTGCACCTCCCACAGCTTCTCCCCTGCAGGAAAGACAGCATCAAATGAGCCAGGCCCAGGAGCAGCTGCAGGGGGAGAGACTGAGGGAATGCCCCCCTCCCTCCACCCTGTGCAGGAGGAGCGAGACCACCACCTTTCATGCTCCTTTCGTTCAGTGCTCCGAGACAAGGCGAGAGACACTGTACAGATTCCTAAAATAGATGCAATCGCCAGAATCTCTCCTGCGGCCCGCCCCTGCTGCTCCAGTCCTGCGCTCCCCGGCACACCGCTCACTACCCCTCCCTCCCAACCTACACCCCCCCACAGCCCTGCCACTGCCCTCCATCCAGAGCCACAGCCCACACCCACCATTCCTCCCCGGACCACTGAACCCCTGAGCCATGGGCATGAGCAGTTACCTGTCTCCACCTCGGCAATGTCGATGAAGTGATCCTCAGACGCGGACGCCAGCATCTTCCCATCATGGCTAAAACTCAAGGTTCTCACGGGCCAGTCCAGCCTGCAGCACAGGGCGAGGAGACAGTGAGGGATTTCCTGTCTCAGTGCCGGGGGTGGGAACTGCACACGGGGCAGGGTCACCTACCTGGAGAAGCACCTCACACACACCAGCTCGTCCACATCCCACAGGCTGACCAGAGCATCTGCGCTTCCCGTGGCAAAGTACTTCCCCATGGGGTCAAACTTGATGCAGATGCAGTTTGAAGGGTGAGCATTGATAGACTGGATGGGCTTCAGCTCCGGGTAGCTGCAGACAGATGGGAGAGAGCAGAGCGGGTGAAAGAGCCAATTCACCAACACTGCAGGGTCCAAGTGTCCGCTACAGAGGGACGCCGTGTGCCCTGACCAATACATCCACATGCAGCTGGGCCGCAGAGACCCAAGACCTCATGCACCTAGCGTCAGTTTAAGTGGGCTACAGCAGCTGGATCGCTTCTGAGGGTGTCTGGCCCAGAACAGTGCGGCAAAGTAAGAACGGCCAGACCGAGTCAGACCAAAGGTCCATCTAGCCCAGTATCCTATCTTCTGACGGTGGCCAATGCCAGGTGCTTCAGAGGGAATGAGCAGAACAGAGCAATTATTGAGTGATCCATCCTGTTGTCCAGTCCCAGCTTCTGGCAGTCAGAAGTTAGGGACACTCAGAGCACGGGATTGCATCCCTGACCATGTAACAGCCATTGATGGACCTATCCTCCAGGAACGTATCTAATTCTTTAAACATAGTTATAGTTTTGGCCTTCACAACATCCCCTGGCAGGGAGTTCCACAGGTTGACTGTGCGATCTATGAAGTACTTCCTTATGTTTGTTTCAAACCTGCTGCCTATTAATTTCCTTGGATGACCCCTGATTCTTGTGTTATGTGAAGGGGTAAATAACACGTCCCTAGTCACTTTCTTCGCACCAGCCATGATTTATAGACCTCTCTCATCTCCCCGAGTCCTCTCTTTTCCAAGCTGAGCAGTCCCAGTCTTATTAATCTCTGCTCATATGGACGTTCCAGAGCTCTCATCATTTTTGGTGCCTCTGTCTGTACCTTTCCCTAGTCTAATTTTTTTTTTTTTTTTTTTTTTTTTTTTTGAGATGGGGCAACCACATCTGCACGCAGTATTCAAGATGTGGGCGTACCATGGATTTATATAGTGGCATTATGATATTTTCTGTCTTATTATCTACCCCAGTCCTAATATTTGCTAACCTTCCATTAGCTTTTTTGACTGCCCTGCACATTGAGCGGATGTTTCAGAGAACTATCCACAAGATCTCTTTCCTGAGTGGTAACAGCTAATTCAGACCCATCATTTTGTATGTATCGCTGGGATGCGTCCCAATGTGCATTACTTTGCCTTTATCAACATTGAATTTTATCTGCCATTTCGTTGCCCAGTCACCCAGTTTTGTGAGATCCCTTTGTAACTCTTCCCAGTCTGCTTTGGACTTAACTATCTTGAGTAATTTTGTATCACCTCCAAACTTCACCACCTCACTGTTTACCCCCTTTCCCCCAGTCATTCATGAAGATGTTGAACAGCACAGGACCCAGTACAGATCCTTGGGGAACCCTGCCATTTACCACTTTCCATTGTAAAGTTGACCATTTATTCCTACCTTTTGTTTCCCATCTTTTAACCAGTTACTGATCCATAAGCGAACCTTCCCTCGTATCCCAAGACTGCTTACTTTGCTTAAGAGTCTTTGGTGAGGGACCTTGTCAAAGGTTTTCTGAAAGTTGAAGTACACTATATCCATTGGACCACCCCCTGTCCACATGCTTGTTAAAACCCTCAAAGAATTCTAATACATTGGCGAGGCATGATTTCCCTTTACAAAAACCATGTTGATTCTTTCCCAATGTACCACGTTCATCTAGGTGTCTGATAATTCTGTTCTTTACTATTGTTTGCCTGGTACTGAAGTCAGGCTTACTGGCGTTTAGTTGCCAGGCTCATATCTGGAGCCTTTTAAAAAAATATTGGCTTTACAATAGCTGTCCGCCAGCCATTGGGTACAGAAGCTGATTTAAGCCATAGGTTACATACCACAGTTGGTAATTAAGCAATTTCACATTTGAGTTCCTTCAGAACTCTTGGGCGATACCTTCGGTCCTGATGACTTATTACTGTTTATCAGTTTGTTCCAAAACCTCCTCTAATGACACCTCAATCTAGAACAGTTCCTCAGATCTGTCACCTAAAAAGAATGGCTCAAGTGTGGGAATCTCCCCCACATCTTCTGCAGTGAAGACTGATGCGAAGAATTAATTTAGCTTCTCTGCAATGGCCTTATCTTCTTTGAGTGCTCCTTTAGCACCTTGATCATCCAGTGGCCCTACTGACTATTTTGCAGGCTTTCTGCTTCTGATATACTTAAAAACTAGTTTTTGTCTTTTGCTAGCTGCTCTTCAAATTCTTTGGCCTGCCTAACTAACCTTTTACACTTGACTCGCCCGAGTTTATGCTCCTTGCTATTTTCCTCAGCAGGAGTTGACTTCCAATTTTTAAAGAATGCCTTTTTGCTTCTAACCACCTCTTATACTCTGCTGTTTAGGCACAGTGGTATTTTTCTTTTTGGTCTTCTATTTTTTTTATTTGGGGTGCACATTTAGTTTGAGCCTCTGTTATGGTGTTTTTAAATATCTTCCATGCAGCTTGAGGCATTTCACTCTTGCGTTTCTTTTCATTTCTGTTTCACTAGCCTCCTCATTTTTGTGTAGTTCCCCTTTGTGAAGTTAAATGCTACTGCGGTGGGCTTCTTTGGCGTTTTCCCCCCTACAAGGATGTTGAATTTAATTACATCATGGTTGCTTGGGCATGTAGGAATTATATTGCTCGGGCATGTAGGAATGAAATCAGGAGGGCCAAATCGCACCTGGAGCTGCAGCTAGCAAGAGATGTCAAGAGTAACAAGAAGGGTTTCTTCAGGTATGTTGGCAACAAGAAGAAAGCCAAGGAAAGTGTGGGCCCCTTAATGAATGAGAGGCAACCTAGTGACAGAGGATGTGGAAAAAGCTAATGTACTCAATGCTTTTTTTGCCTCTGTCTTCACTAACAAGGTCAGCTCCCAGACTGCTGTGCTGGGCATCACAACATGGGGAGTAGATGGCCAGCCCTCCGTGGAGAAAGAGGTGGTTAGGGACTATTTAGAAAAGCTGGACGTGCACAAGTCCATGGGGCCGGACGAGTTGCATCCGAGAGTGCTAAAGGAATTGGCGGCTGTGATTGCAGAGCCATTGGCCATTATCTTTGAAAACTCGTGGTGAACGGGGGAAGTCCCAGATGACTGGAAAAAGGCTAATGTAGTGCCTTTAAAAAATCTTTAAAAAAGGGAAGAAGGAGGATCCTGGGAACTACAGGCCAGTCAGCCTCACCTCAGTCCCCGGAAAAATCATGGAGCAGGTCCTCAAAGAATCAATCCTGAAGCACTTACATGAGAGGAAAGTGATCAGGAACAGTCAGCATGGATTCACCAAGGGAAGGTCATGCCTGACTAATCTAATTGCCTTCTATGATGAGATTACTGGTTCTGTGGATGAAGGGAAAGCAGTGGATGTATTGTTTCTTGACTTTAGCAAAGCTTTTGACACGGTCTCCCACAGTATTCTTGTCAGCAAGTTAAAGAAGTATGGGCTGGATGAATGCACTATAAGGTGGGTAGAAAGTTGGCTAGATTGTCGGGCTCAACGGGTAGTGATCAATGGCTCCATGTCTAGTTGGCAGCCGGTGTCAAGGGGAGTGCCCCAGGGGTCAGTTTTGTTCAATATCTTCATAAATGATCTGGAGGATGGTATGGATTGCACCCTCAGCAAATTTGCAGATGATACTAAACTAGGAGGAGTGGTAGATATGCTGGAGGGCAGGGATAGGATATTAGGAAAAACTTTTCCACTAAGAGGGTGGTGAAACACTGGAATGCGTTACCTAGGGAGGTGGTAGAATCTCCTTCCTTAGAAGTTTTTAAGGTCAGACTTGACAAAGCCCTGGCTGGGATGATTTAATTGGGAATTGGTCCTGCTTTGAGCAGGGGGTTGTACTAGATGACCTCCTGAGGTCCCTTCCAACCCTGATATTCTATGATTCTATGCTATTACCAAGCGTTTACATTATATTCACCTCTTGGACCAAATCCTGTCCTCCACAGAGAACTAAATCAAGAATTGCCTCTCCTCTTGTGGGTTCCAGGACTAGCTGCTCCAAGAAGCAGTCACTAATGGTGTCTAGAAATGTTATCTCTGCATCCCATCCTGAGGGGACATGTACGCAGTCAATATAGGGACAGTCTACATCCCCCATTATTTTCTGACTTTGTAGCCTCTCTGCTCTCCTGGAGCATTTCACAATCATCGTCACCACCCTGGTCAGTAGTATATCCTTGCTGCTATACTCTTGTCAGTCAAGCCTGGAATTTCTATCCAGAGAGATTCTATGGGACAGTTTGATTCATTTAAGAGTTGTTCTATATTTGACTCCACGCTTTCTTTCACAGACAGTGCCACTTCCCCCACCAGTGCGATCTACTCTGTCATTCCTATATAGTTTGTACCCTGGTATTACCGTGCCCCACTGATTATCATCATTTCACCAAGTTTCTGTGATGCCGACTATGTCAATGTCCTCATTTAATACCAAGCACTTGAGTTCACGCATCTTAGTATTTACATTTCTAGCATGTCTATAGTTGTCAGTATTTAGTTGTCTGCTTCATGTGAGGTAACTGAATGGGACTCTTTCATTTGACTGTTTCTCCTCAGTTCCTACCTATACAGGCGAGTCTCATCTTACACTGCGGTTACATTCCGCAGACAGCGTGTAAAGCAAAAATCACATATAGTCAAAATTACATTGAGTATAATGGCGGGAGGAATCGCCCACACTACAGGTACAGTATTTAAATTGTTACCTTTCTCTCTTTTTTTTGTTTTTGCCGACCGCACAAAGCTGAATTCACACATGTTAAATGCGCGTAAGATGAGAGTCACCTGTACTTTATCAACTTCTATCCTCTCCCCTTTACTAGGATATAGAGAATCCCTGTTCAGAGATCCTCCCCTAAGGGATGTCTCTATCTGAACCATGTGCTCCTCCGTACCTGTCGGCTTCTCCCAGCCGTTAGTTTCAAAACTTCTCTACCACCTTTTAACACTACACAAGCAATCTGGTACCAGTTTGGTTTAGGTGGAGCCTAACCTTTCTGTATAGGTTCCTCCTTTCCCAAACCCCTCCTCCCTACACCATCGTCTCATCCACGCATTGAGACCCTGCAGTTCTGCCAATCTCCCTGGCCTGGAGTGTGGAACTGGAAGCATTTCAGAGAATGCTACCATGGAGGTCCTGGACTTTAATCTCTTACCTAGCAGCCTAAATTTGGCTTCCAGGACCTCTCTCCTATCCTTCCTATGTCATTGGTACCTACCTGTACCATGACCACCGGCTCCTCCCCAGCACTGCACATAAGTCTAGAGAGATCTGCAACCTTTGTACCTGGCAGGCAATTCACCATGTGGTTCTCCTGATCATCACAAACCCAACTAGCTATATTTCTAATGATCAAATCCCCCATTACTGTTATCTGTCTCTTCCTAATAACTGGGGCCCTGGAGGAGCACCACATCATCATCTGGAGGGAAGGTCCCAACTATGGGAATGTTTCCCTCTGGTCGAGCTTGATGTTCCTCTTCCCCGAGACTTTCCTCCTCCTCAGCAGCACAGAGGCGGTCAGACGGGGGGTGAGACCACTCTACTGTATCCCTGAAAGTCTCCTCTGGGTACCTCATTGTCCCCCTTAGCTCCTCCAGTTCAGCCACCCTGCTCTTAAGAGCCCGTAGTTGGTCTCTGAGGGCCCTGCGTTGCTTGCACTCAGTGCGCGCGCACACACCCCTGCCCACAAGGCCAGTAAGCATACATGGTGCAGTCAGTGCAATAAACTGGACAGCCCCCACTCGACTGCTGGACTTTGCCTGCATTATTTTTACTCTTGTGGGGTTTTCGGTTTAGGAGTACTGTTAGGTATATCTGCCTCTCTAAACTCCCCTGTTCGCCAGCTCTTCTAGTCACTTTGGAGCTGGCTTTTAAGTCCCTGTTCTCCCGAGTTAGCCCCTTCCCCTCATCAAGGGACCCTAAAGGGGTTAGGGATCACAGGACAGCAGAATAGAGCGTCATTAGGAAGCTCTCAGCCTCGCCTACCAGGAAACTTGTCTCAGCACACAGCTCCAAAACAGACCACACTATAACCTCAGCTACTGGCAAGGCTCTCAGTCTGTCACAAGAGCCATGCGAAGGAAACACAACTGAGTGCAGAGAGTCAGAGCGAGGGTGCAGGGCAGGAGATGTAAGAGGCGGCCAGCCTGCCCATCCCATCCCTGCCACTGGAGACCATGCCGGGACATACCTGAGGATGTTGATGCAGCCATTGCCATTGGTGAGGAAGAACATGTTGTTATCATTGTTCCAGGAAATCTCATTAACCTCAAATTTAAACTGCTCCTCGGCTTTGGAGCGATGTGTTTTGGCATCAATGAAGGTGACCACATCATCCTTATTCCCCACCGCAATGGTCTGGCCATCAGGACTCCAGCAGATATTAATGTTCTCTCCTGGAAGGGACGAGAATGCATCAGGTCCTACCATCACTCAGCACCATTAACAGGGGCAAGAGAACCACTCAGGTGCCAAAGATGGACTTTTGTATTTTTAACCCAAGCCCCAGGTCTGCTCCGCTAACCCTCTGCCTTAAGTGGCGAAGGCCAATGACATGACCAAGTTTAAATTTTAACAGCCTAGCTTTGCTTGACCAGCTGTGCCACAACTATGCATGCAAGTTTTAAGGGAAATTAACTCCAACAGAACTGTGGCCTCAAAACAGAGAATCACAATTACTCCTGTTGCATGTCTCTTCCCCGTGCAAATCTCTCTGCAAAGCCATTGCTCCATGCTACATAGGTCATTCAACAAATCTTTACATAGTACTGACACAGGGGTGCTGGAAAAGTGTGTGTGTGTGGGGGGGGGGGGGATGGGGAGGTGCTGAGAGCCATTGAACCAAACTGTAAACCTTGTATATGATAAAAAACACTTCAAGCCAGGTTCCTGCACCTGTGTACTGACAACTAAACCTGGGAAGAAAAGGTGCATCAAAAACAGAAATGGGTGATGGAGACTCAACTTCTCTCCCTAACCTCTATCCCTTCTCCCTACAGCCACGCATGCTAGTGAGAGTTTCTACAGTGCCGGTGCTAACGTAGACGGGTTCAGGTGTTTAACACTGTTTCACCTAACACTGCTCAGAGCTTGGCTGATGCCAGGCACAGATACAAATTCTCGCTGGAGGTAGTGTCATGTATGTTTACAATTGGCTAGCAAAAGCCAGAAAGATGCAATTGTCACAAAAACATCACGTAGAGGTCTCAGGGTTTCCTGAATTTGCTTCCAGTCCATGTTGGGAGCAGGATGCGTGTGCAAAGCGAGCAGTGTTTACAGCTGTCCTGAGATACTCTGGTCCCTCCTATCGCCTCATGTTATCACCCACCTTTGGTGTTCACGGTAGCAATGCACTTAGTGGTGCGGACGTCCCAAATACGGATGGTCTTGTCTCCAGACGCAGTAACAAAGAGGTCTGGGTTACTCGGGTGCCAGCACAGTTGATCCACGCTGTCCCCGTGGCCGCGGTAATTGTTCTCCTTCACCTAGAGGGAGACGACCGCCCAAGCCATCAGACAACCAGGCTCCTACGGATGCTGCCCCCCTCACTCAGGAAACTGCCCCCGTGAGCTAAACAAAGACTACGGCCCCCATTTTACAGAGGGGGACCCGAGACCGAGGGAAACTAAGCGACTTGCCCAAGATCGCACACAAGTCTATGGGGGGGATCAGGAAAGCCAACGCTCCCCCTCCCGCGCCCCAGACTAACACTTGAACCCCGGGGGCCTTTCTTTGAGGGGTGCTCGGCGGCTCGCAGACCTGTCCCAGGCGCAGCAAATGGGATCCCCCCACTCCCAGGGCCCGAGCCCCGGCCTGGGCTCGCCGGGCCGAGCCTGGGGGGCGGCTTCCCCTGCGCTGCCCGGGGGGGGCGGCTTCCCCTGCGCTGCCCGGGGGGCGGGGGCGGCTTCCCCTGCGCTGCCCGGGGGCGGGGGGGGGGGGGGGGGCGGGGGGGGGGGGGGGGGGGGGGGGGGGGGGGGGGGGGGGGGGGGCGGGGGGGGGGGCGGGGGGGGGGGGGGCCGGCGCGGGGGGGGGGGGGGGCGGCCGGCGCCGGGGGGAGGGGGGCCGGGCGGGGGGGGGGGGGGCCCCTGGCTGCCGGGGGGGGGGGGCGGCTTCCCTGGTGCGGGGGGGGGGGGGGGGGGGGGCGGCTTCCCCTGCGCTGCCCGGGGGGGCGGGGGGCGGCTTCCCCTGCGCTGCCCGGGGGGCGAGGGGGGGGCGGGGCGGCTTCCCCTGGGACGTGACCCCGCCCCGCCGCTGGCAGCCCCGCATGGCGGATGGCAGGGGACGGGGACCCCCCCCGCGGCGCTGTGCCCAGCCCGATTGAACGCCCCGGCCCCGGCCCCGGCCCGCTCACCAGCCGGTCCTTCTCCAGCACGAAGACGCTCGCCGTCTTGTCGAAGGAGCCCGAGGCGAGCCGGCGGCCGCAGCAGCTCCAGGCCACCGAGTGCACCTTGGCCCCGTGCGCCGGGAACTCGCGGCTGCGCGTGTTGGCCCGGAACAGCTCCTGCATGGCGAGCACGTACGGGGAGAGCGCCATGGCAACCGGGCGCCCGGCAACCGCTTCCGGGGCAGCGGCCGCGGGGGCCACGCCTTCCGCTTCCGGGGCGCCTCTGGCGCTGCGCGCGCGGGGGGCCAGGGTCACGGGCCGGAAGGGACGGAGGCGGCGGCGGCGCGCTCCCGGCGCGGGGGCGGGGCCGGCGGCGGGGCCCGCGGCCCCCGCCCGTCTCCGGCGCTAGGCCCCGCCCCCCCCGTGCTGTGCTGGCCCCTGCGCCCCGGGGGCGGCCGCAGCTCCGCGCTCCGCACCAGGACCGACTCCGGCCGGTGGTTCAGGCTCCGGCCCCCGGCTCCGGGACCGGGACCGGCCGCAGCGCCGCACGGCATTCAGCCCCCTCTTCAAGCGCAGGGAGCGGCTGGTGCCTGCCCAGACCCGCGTGGGCAGCCCCTCGGAGGGGTGCAGGTCCCCACCCCGGTGTTTCTGCCACCAGCCTGCAGCCCCCGATTTCCCGCTGCAGCCTCACGGTGCCCAGGGGCGTCTGGGGGGCACCAGGAAGAAACCGAGGAGTCACCGGACTCGCCGTTAATTGAATACACCTGAAAAGTAGCCACAGAAAACGTCACACAGCTGCAGAGACCAACAGCCCGGGTAGCCAAAGGAGATTCGGGGTGGTGCCCGCACGTGGTTTGCTGCCTGGCCTGAGTCTCCAGTTTGTTTTTACTAAGACTAGTTGCTCCTAACCAGAGGAGTAGTTCCTCTGCTCTAGTCTGCTCTGATTAGGCCTCAACTGGCGTATTGTGTCCAGATCTGGATGCAACATTTCAGGAAGGATGTGGACAAATTGGAGAGCGAGTCCAGAGAAGAGCAATAAAAATGATAAAAGGTCTAGAAAACAGGACCTTCTGGGGGAAGATTAAAAAAACTGGGTTTCTTTAGTCTGGAAAAGAGAAGACTGAGAGGGGACATAACAGTTTTCAAGTATGTAAAAGGTTGCTACAAGGAGGAGGAAGAAAAATTGTTTTGCTTAAACTCTGAGGGCAGGACAAGAAGCAACGGTCTAAAACTGCAGCAAGGGAGGTTTAGGTTGGAGATTAGGAAAAAATTCCTCACTGTCAGGGTGGTTAAGCACTGGAATAAATTGCCTAGGGAGGTTGTGGAATCTCCATCCGTGGAGATGTTTAAGAGCAGGTTGGACAAACACCTGCCAGGGACGGCCTAGATAATCAGTCCTGCCAGGAGTGCAGCGGACTGTAATAGAAGACCTCTTACGGTCCCTTCCAGTCCCTGTGAGTCTATATAGGATGATCAGCAGGAAGGCGGGGGCTGCTGGACTGGAGAGAGAGAGCAGCCTGAGCCCATGGGGACTGGGACAGTCCAGGCTTGAGGGCCCTAAGGCCTTCCTGTGCTAGGATCAGACACTCAGTAAACCCTCCTGTTTGACACTGGCTGAGAGTCAGTGCAGTCCGTAGAGGGGCTTTGCATTGTTCCCTCTGGTTGTGGTGGTCCCGGGGGGCCAGCGAGCGCGTGGACTCCCTGAGGGGGCCCTCGGTGAAAGGCAGGCAGGCGGAAGGCTCCGAGGTGCAATCCGAAGAGCTGGGGGGACAAGAGCGCAACCTTCGCGGAAGGCCCTGACGCTCAAGGGGCTTGCTCCCAGGGGCCGTATGAGAAGGGGATGCGGAGAAGCATTCGGCAGCCGGCCACCCACGCCTCACTGGTGCGGCTCTCGGGGAGTGGGTTAGCGTGGCGGGGCCGGTAGAGGTACCCGGTCTGCCCCAGCCAGGGAGCCGCGGTGCTCAGCAGAGGAAAGGAGGAAGAGGGCCTGGCCGGGGTGTCCCAGCCCTGTCTCTACCCCCGCGCACACCCCTCCGGCCTTGCAGGGCTGAAGCCCCAGGCGCGGTGTGTGTTTGGGGGGGGGACCCCAAAGTGCCCCCCTGCAAACAGCCGAGCGTGGTGCCCCCCCCCCGGTCCAGGAACCCCGGGGTCTCCCTCGCACAACCCTGGGCCGCGCGCCCGCGGCTCGCTGCCGGGGCAGGCGCGTGCCCGAGGGGCCCCAGCCGCCGGGGGCGCGCGCGGAGGGAGGAGCGAGCGCGGGCCCCGCCCATCGGCCCGGCGGGGGCGGAGCCCGGGGAGCAGGCAATGGCCGAGGGCGTCATCCTCGTCCGCGACTCGGGCTCGGAGGGCGGCTGCTCCCCGCCCCGCCGGAAGAGGCGGCGGCCCCGGCCCCGGCTCCGGCCCCAGCCCCGGCTCCGGCCCCAGCGCGGCCGGCCGGGACTCGCGGTGAGTCACCGCGGGCCCCGTTACCCGGCCGGGCGGGCGCGAAGGTGGCGGCGCTTCCGGCCGCGGGCTGGGCGAGGGGATGGCGGCCGGGAGGGGTCAGCTCCGGACCCCCCGCCTCGGGGGACCCCGCCCCCGTCCGAGCGCCCCGGCGGCCCGGCCCCGCAGCGCGGGCAGCGGCTCTTCGTGGGGATGCGCTCGGCCCGGTGCGCTGCGCATGCGCACAGGAACTGAGCATGCTCAGTAGCATCTGTTGAAGCCCCTGCCCTTCGCCCTGCCCTTCCTGGAGTCTGCCCGTCCAGGACAGCCCGGTCCGCGCCCCCCGGGGAGCAGTCTCCTCCCCTCCCCCGTGCCGGGGCCACGCTCCCACGGGGGGCAGTCTCCTCCCCTCCCCCGCGCCGGGGCCACGTTCCCACGGGGGGCAGTCTCCTCCCCTCCCCCGCGCCGGGGCCACGCTCCCACGGGGGGCAGTCTCCTCCCCTCCCCCGCGCCGGGGCCACGCTCCCACGGGGGGCAGTCTCCTCCACAGGGCCACGTTCCCACGGGGCCACGTTCCCACGGGGGCAGTCCCTCCACAGGGCCACATTCCCACAGGGCCACGTTCCCACGGGGGCAGTCTCCTCCACAGGGCCACGTTCCCACGGGGAGCAGTCTCCTCCCCTCCCCGCGCCGGGGCCACGCTCCCACGGGGAGCAGTCTCCTCCCCTCCCCGCGCCGGCCACGCTCCCACGGGGGCAGTCTCCTCCCCTCCCCCCGCCGGGGCCACGCTCCCACGGGGAGCAGTCTCCTCCCCTCCCCCCGCGCGGGCCACGCTCCCACGGGGGCAGTCCCTCCCCGTGCCGGGCCACGCTCCCACGGGGAGCAGTCTCCTCCCCTCCCCCGCGCCGGGGCCACGTTCCCACGGGGAGCAGTCTCCTCCCCTCCCCCGCGCCGGGGCCACGTTCCCACGGGGAGCAGTCTCCTCCCCTCCCCCGCGCCGGGGCCACGCTCCCACGGGGAGCAGTCTCCTCCATTCCCCCCCGCGCTGGGGCCACGCTCCCACGGGGAGCAGTCTCCTCCATTCCCCCCCCCGCGCTGGGGCCACGCTCCCACGGGGAGCAGTCTCCTCCATTCCCCCCGCGCTGGGGCCAGCTCCCATGGGGAGCAGTCTCCTCCATCCCCGCCCCTGGGGCCACGCTCCCACGGGGAGCAGTCTCCTCCCCTCCCCTGCGCGGGGCCACGCTCCTACGGGGAGCAGTCTCCTCCATCCCCGCCCCGGGGCCACGCTCCCACGGGGGCAGTCTCCTCCCCTCCCCCGCGGGGGCCACGCTCCCACGGGGGCAGTCTCCCCCCTCCCCCGCGCGGGGCCACGCTCCCACGGGGGCAGTCTCCCCCTCCCCCCGCGGCCACGTTCCCACGGGGGCAGTCTCCTCCCCTCCCCCGCGCCGGGGCCACGCTCCCACGGGGGGCAGTCTCCTCCCCTCCCCCGCGCCGGGGCCACGCTCCCACGGGGGGCAGTCTCCTCCACAGGGCCACGTTCCCACGGGGCCACGTTCCCACGGGGGGCAGTCTCCTCCACAGGGCCACATTCCCACAGGGCCACGTTCCCACGGGGGGCAGTCTCCTCCACAGGGCCACGTTCCCATGGGGAGCAGTCTCCTCCATTCCCCCCCCACGCCGGGGCCACGCTCCCACGAGGAGCAGTCTCCTCCCCTCCCCCGCGCCGGGGCCACGCTCCCACGGGGAGCAGTCTCCTCCATTCCCCCCCCGCGCTGGGGCCACGCTCCCACGGGGAGCAGTCTCCTCCATTCCCCCCCCCGCGCTGGGGCCACGCTCCCATGGGGAGCAGTCTCCTCCATCCCCGCCCCTGGGGCCACGCTCCCACGGGGAGCAGTCTCCTCCATTCCCCCCCCCGCGCTGGGGCCACGCTCCCACGGGGAGCAGTCTCCTCCATTCCCCCCCCGCGCTGGGGCCACGCTCCCATGGGGAGCAGTCTCCTCCATCCCCGCCCCTGGGGCCACGCTCCCACGGGGAGCAGTCTCCTCCCCTCCCCTGCGCCGGGGCCACGCTCCTACGGGGAGCAGTCTCCTCCATCCCCGCCCCCGGGGCCACGCTCCCACGGGGGCCAGTCTCCTCCCCTCCCCCGCGCCGGGGCCACGTTCCCACGGGGGGCAGTCTCCTCCACAGGGCCACGTTCCCACGGGGCCACGTTCCCACGGGGGGCAGTCTCCTCCACAGGGCCACATTCCCACGGGGCCACGTTCCCACGGGGAGCAGTCTCCTCCCCTCCCCCGCGCCGGGGCCACGCTCCCACGGGGGGCAGTCTCCTCCCCTCCCCCACGCCGGGGCCACGCTCCCACGGGGAGCAGTCTCCTCCCCTCCCCCCCGCACCGGGGCCACGCTCCCACGGGGGGCAGTCTCCTCCCCTCCCCCGCGCCGGGGCCACGTTCCCACGGGGGGCAGTCTCCTCCACAGGGCCACGTTCCCACGGGGCCATGTTCCCACGGGGGGCAGTCTCCTCCACAGGGCCACATTCCCACGGGGCCACGTTCCCACGGGGGGCAGTCTCCTCCACAGGGCCACGCTCCCACGGGGAGCAGTCTCCTCCATTCCCCCCCCCACGCCGGGGCCACGCTCCCACGAGGAGCAGTCTCCTCCATTCCCCCCCGCGCCGGGGCCACGCTCCCACGGGGAGCAGTCTCCTCCATTCCCCCCCCCGCGCTGGGGCCACGCTCCCACGGGGAGCAGTCTCCTCCATCCCCCCCCGCGCTGGGGCCACGCTCCCATGGGGAGCAGTCTCCTCCATCCCCGCCCCTGGGGCCACGCTCCCACGGGGAGCAGTCTCCTCCCCTCCCCTGCGCCGGGGCCACGCTCCTACGGGGAGCAGTCTCCTCCCCTCCCCCGCGCCGGGGCCACGTTCCCACGGGGGGCAGTCTCCTCCACAGGGCCACGTTCCCACGGGGCCACGTTCCCACGGGGGGCAGTCTCCTCCACAGGGCCACATTCCCACGGGGCCACGTTCCCACGGGGGGCAGTCTCCTCCACAGGGCCACGTTCCCACGGGGAGCAGTCTCCTCCATTCCCCCCCCCACGCCGGGGCCACGCTCCCACGAGGAGCAGTCTCCTCCCCTCCCCCGCGCCGGGGCCACGCTCCCACGGGGAGCAGTCTCCTCCATTCCCCCCCGCGCTGGGGCCACGCTCCCACGGGGAGCAGTCTCCTCCATTCCCCCCCCGCGCTGGGGCCACGCTCCCATGGGGAGCAGTCTCCTCCATCCCAGCCCCTGGGGCCACGCTCCCACGGGGAGCAGTCTCCTCCCCTCCCCTGCGCCGGGGCCACGCTCCTACGGGGAGCAGTCTCCTCCATCCCCGCCCCCGGGGCCACGCTCCCACGGGGGGCAGTCTCCTCCACAGGGCCACGTTCCCACGGGGCCACGTTCCCACGGGGGGCAGTCTCCTCCACAGGGCCACGTTCCCACGGGGCCATGTTCCCACGGGGAGCAGTCTCCTCCATTCCCCCCCCGCGCTGGGGCCACGCTCCCACGAGGAGCAGTCTCCTCCATTCCCCCCCCCGCGCCGGGGCCACGCTCCCACAGGGGGCAGTCTCCTCCCCTCCCCCACGCCGGGGCCACGCTCCCACGGGGAGCAGTCTCCTCCCCTCCCCCCCGCGCCGGGGCCACGCTCCCACGGGGGGCAGTCTCCTCCATCCCCGCCCCCGGGGCCACGCTCCCACGGGGGGCAGTCTCCTCCACAGGGCCACGTTCCTACGGGGCCACGTTCCCACGGGGGGCAGTCTCCTCCACAGGGCCACATTCCCACGGGGCCACGCTCCCACGGGGGGCAGTCTCCTCCACAGGGCCACGTTCCCACGGGGGGCAGTCTCCTCCACAGGGCCACGTTCCCACGGGGGGCAGTCTCCTCCACAGGGCCACGTTCCCACGGGGCCATGTTCCCACGGGGAGCAGTCTCCTCCATTCCCCCCCCGCGCCGGGGCCACGCTCCCACGGGGAGCAGTCTCCTCCCCTCCCCCCCGCACCGGGGCCACGCTCCCACGGGGGGCAGTCTCCTCCATCCCCGCCCCCGGGGCCACGCTCCCACGGGGGGCAGTCTCCTCCACAGGGCCATGTTCCCACGGGGCCACATTCCCACGGGGGGCAGTCTCCTCCACAGGGCCACGTTCCCACGGGGCCACGTTCCCACGGGGGGCAGTCTCCTCTACAGGGCCACGTTCCCACGGGGCCACGTTCCCACGGGGAGCAGTCTCCTCCATTCTCCCCCCCGTGCCGGGGCCACGCTCCCACGAGGAGCAGTCTCCTCCATCCCCCCCCGCGCCGGGGCCACGCTCCCACGGGGAGCAGTCTCCTCCCCTCCCCCGCGCCGGGGCCACGCTCCCACGGGGAGCAGTCTCCTCCATTCCCCCCCCCGCACTGGGGCCACGCTCCCATGGGGAGCAGTCTCCTCCATTCCCCCCCCCCGCGCCGGGGCCAAGCTCCCACGAGGAGCAGTCTCCTCCATTCTCCCCCCCCGCGCCGGGGCCACGCTCCCATGGGGAGCAGTCTCCTCCATTCCCGCCCCTGGGGCCACGCTCCCACGGGGGGCAGTCTCCTCCATTCCCCCCCGCCGGGGCCACGCTCCCACGGGGAGTAGTCTCCTCCATCCCCGCCCTCGGGGCCACGCTCCCACGGGGAGCAGTCTCCTCCCCTCCCCCCTGCCGGGGCCACGCTCCCACGGGGGGCAGTCTCCTCCCCTCCCCCGCGCCGGGGCCACGCTCCCACGGGGGGCAGTCTCCTCCACAGGGCCACGTTTCCACGGGGCCACGTTCCCATGGGGGGCAGTCTCCTCCACAGGGCCACATTCCCACGGGGCCATGTTCCCACGGGGAGCAGTCTCCTCCATTCCCCCCCGCCCCGGGGCCACGCTGCCATGGGGAGCATCTCCTCCCCTCCCCCGCCCCAGGGCCACGTTCCCACGGGGGGCAGTCTCCTCCACAGGGCCACGTTCCCACGGGGAGCAGTCTCCTCCACCGCCCCCCCCACCAGGGCCACGTTCCCAAGGAGAGCAGTCTCTTCCCCTCCCCCACGCCGGGGCCACGCTCCCACGGGGAGCAGTCTCCTCCCCCCCCCGGGGCCACGTTCCCACGGGGGGCAGTCTCCTCCACAGGGCCACGTTCCCACGGGGAGCAGTCTCCTCCACTGCCCCCCCCACCGGGGCCACGTTCCCACGGGGAGCAGTCTCCTCCATTCCCCCCCCCAGGGCCCCGCTCCCACAGGGAGCAGTCTCCTCCCCTCCGCCAGGACCACGTTCCCACGGGGAGCAGTCTCCTCCATTCCCCCCCCCCGGGGCCCCGCTCCAATGGGGGGCAGTCTCCTACACTCCCCCCCGGGGCCACGTTCCCATGGGGAGCAGTCTCCTACACTCCCCCCTGGGGCCACGTTCCCATGGGGAGCAGTCTCCTACACTCCCCCCCCCCCCGGGGCCATGTTACTGTCCCTGCAGCCAGGCCCAGCGGGCAGCCTGTGCTGCATCTGACTCGAGTTGCCAACTTTCCAATTCCACAAAAATCAGACCATGCCGCCGAGGGACTCAGGCCTGGATTCGCAGGCGGTGTCCTGCGGGTCTATGGGGTGCTGGGAGAGACAGCGTCTCTTGCCAGTGGTACAGGAGGGAGTGGCCTCTGGAACAGGCTGGAAAGCCTGTTGGGAGGGAGCAGATAAGTGATGAGCTAAGCACTTACCTCTGATCTTCAGAACAACTCTGCTGGGTAAAGTCCTACCAGCTGACAGGGGAGAGGGAGAGGGCAGAGTTACCCAGCCCCCCTGGGTTCCGGGGGCTCCTTTGTCTGTTCCAGAGAGCTCAGAGGCTGAGCATCCAAGGCTTGTCTGATTGTGTAAAGAAAGCCGGAGCAGATGGTTGCTGAGTGGACAATACATCTCATCTGGAAGGCTGGCTGCCGTGGCCCAGCTGCCATCTCAGCTTGAATCCTCTGAAATTCTCGCCTCCCATGCCCAAGCAGCTCAGGGATCAAATCAATGCTCTTTAGCCCAAGGGATTTCTCTTGCCATCTCTGCAGTGCTCCCAGTGGAGCTCACAGGGCTTCCCTGGGGGCCGCTGTATCAGTCACAGAGGAGAAGGCAGAATATCTGCTCCTGCTGGAAGGGTCCTGGAGGTTGCACACTGAAATCCACAGTGCTGGGAGCTGGAGTGATCTGGGCCCCAGGTTAAGAGTCCTGCCCTTTCCTCCAAGGGTGGAAAGGGACAGGAGCAGGTCGGGCAGGCGGGAATGATCTGCTCCCGGAACTCAGGCGCCGCACGGCCGCCTCCAGAAGGAAGAGCCCAGGAATGAGAGTTCATTGTTCTGCAGCCAAACCTGCCACCAATGGTCGCTTCAGTCACTGCTTAGGACAGAGCCCTGGTGAACAGCTTGCAGGAAACAAGGCACCCAGACCCCCAGGGTGGATGTCACCCACTGGGGCTTTTCCAGCTCGAATAGCGTCAGTCCCCTGCCTCGCGGGGTGGCTTTTCTGGCAGGCCGATTAGCACTCAGCAGCTCCCCTGCCACCATCTTACTGCAGCAGCCGTGGGTGCAACACAGACAGCAGCAGGCAGGCCCCTCAGCCGAGCACAACAGCAGCTTGAGCTGCAGCCGTGTGGCGTCAAAGCTCCTTGTGTCCGCTAGCAGGGAACCCACCCGCTCCACTGGCCACGCCTCGCCCCGTGTTTGTGGGTGCCCCGTGCAGATGTGTGCTCGCCCTCTGGACCAGTGCTGACACTCACTGGACCTGGACCTGGCTCGGAGGGCCTGCAAGGCATTGACAGACACTGCCCCACGGGAGCTGGCATGCTGTCTGAAGTAGAGCCCGGGCTTCTGCAAAGCGCTCTGGGGTCCTGGGGCCGCCCCTTGCCGGGGCAGTGGGAGGGATGAAGGGGATCTGTGCTGATGCTGCAGGGGGAGGGAGGCACCACTGCTGGAATCCAGCCTCTGCCCCGTGTGCCCAGGTGGGGGCTGCAGGGCTTGGCTCGTGTCTGTTCTCAGGTGAGCTGCCGTCACTTTGTGAGGATTGGGGAAAACCCAGCCTCCAGCACCCTGCCCTGTCCCCTCAGCGATTCTGGCAGTGCTGATGGGGACATATGCAAAGCTCCAGCTGCCACGACCTCAGAGCTCCTGAGCCAGGGCACTTGGCCCCGCGTCCCATGTCCTAGTGCAGCCCTTGTGGCACTGCTTCTCCACTGCAGGAGGGGGCCCTGACCCCAAACTAGCAGCAAAGAGCCGGCCGCCATCTTGGGTTTGGGGCAGGGGCTTGTTCACTGCTCGGACGCTGCCTGACAGCCAGTTTGCCCATCAGGGAGGGGCAGGGTTTGCCCCAGGGATTAGGGCAAGGAAGCCCCCCCGGCTAGGCTTTTCCGAGCACAATTCAGACCGTTGCTTCACGCTGCTAGAGGCCGGGCCGGGGGTTTGCAATCTGAGCAGGGGATGGGCATTGCTTGCCACTAGCGTTCTGTGCGACCATGGGGAAGTCCTGTGCGCATGCCTCTTGCGATCCCGTGGGGCTGATGGGCATGCCCCACCTCCCCAAGGCCCTGCACCCGGGGATCGGGAGAGCCCAGCCCGTGAACTCCTTGTGCCCCCCTTAGCCTGCAGCACTAACCGCTGTCTGTCTGTCCCCAGGAGGTCATTGATCTGACCGGGGAGGACGAGTGTTCAGAAGCAGCAGTGCAGGATGACTTCGCTGTGATCGACCTGACCGAAGTGGAGGAGGAGCGTCCGGCCGACTTCCCCCTGGCTGATGCTGGCACTGCTGCCGGCATGGCATGCGCGTCGCCTCCCAGCCTCCCTGCCCTCGTGGACATAAAGCGTGAAAGGAAAGAGGTGGCAGACCAAGGCCTTGGGGACCCGTGGGACGGAGCTCAGGAAGAGACGAAAGGCACCCACTTGGAAGGCTGCGTCTCCCCCGTCTCCAGCTGCACGCACTCCGTCTGCGGCCCTGAGCTCAGCAGCACCACCATTAACAGCGACCTGGGCTCCTTGGCCAGCCTCCCGCTGGACTCGGACGTGTTCTCCTTCTCTCCAGCCAGCAGCAGCAGCAGGAGGGCATCCTGGGACTGCTCCACCGCAGAATCTCACAGTAGCAGCCAGCAAAAGGAAGACCCAAAACGCCTACCCACCGCCCCTGTTCAGAGACAGTCCCCAGGCCTCTCCAGCTGCCCCCCAGCAAGCACCCCCAGGTCTCCAGAGCAGCCTTTGCTGGAGACAAGTAACCCAATGCTGACTGCCGTGAAGCAGGAGCCCCCCGAGCCAGCCAAACTGCGGCCTGTCAATAAGGCTTGGCTTCATAAGCTGCGGTACTTCAGGAGGACTCCGGTGCATCACCTCTTCCTCCAGGGCGTGGTGCAGGATGAGGAAAGCCGCCAGGTAACCTAGTGAGATCGCCCCGCCTCCGTGCCCAGGGCCAGTCATGGGCTCAAGCACAGGGGTGCTGAGAAGGTGCCACCCCTTCTCAAAGCGGGGCCTCTATCCTACATGGAGGTTGATGCTCTGGGCGCGCCCTCGGCATTTCCCTTCAGCCAGGCATACTGGGGTTGAGGAACGCTGCTCAAACGTCCCATCCAGCGGCAAGGAGGAACCCAGGGGATTGCAAGCATTCTTGGGGGGCTACTAATGACTCGAGGGTTTGGGTCCCCTCTGCAATTCAGCCTGGAGGGAGCTCTGCTCTGGTTCCTCTTCTGCCTTTCAGTTACGCCTTTGTTTTTCCCTGTCCATTCCTCTGGCTGCCTTCTTCCCTCTCTCTGGATTCCCGCACTTAGCTCTGCTCTATGCTCAGCCCTTGCTCTGGCTTTGTTCAGACAATGGTCTTCGTCTGGAGGGAGGGCCCAGCCTGCTCTCCTCTGCTCCCGTATGCGGACACAGGGACCCCTCAGCAGAGTGGTCTGTGTGGTGAGAGAATGGGCCCGGGCAGCCGTAGCGAGCGCTAATCCCATTGCCGGAGCACTGCGTGCCGAGCAGACCGGCCCCCGTCACCCCCTGCTGGGCCAGCCTGTGAAATCCGCCCTCCTAATTGGGTTTCAGTCCAGTTAGGGAAGTGCCTGGCTAGCCAGGAACCGAGCATCATGTTACCACAGGCCAGCAGAGGCCTGTTAAGGTGGCCCCTTGTGCCTGTGTGGCAGAACAGTGCCGCTCCTGCAGGCTTGGAGGGGAGGAGGCTCATGCAGGCCAAGCCGTTCCATGGTCCTCGGGGCCTGGCAGACCCAGAGCCATGAGGCACTTGTGCTACCCAAGGGCCCTGGATGCATTTTTTTCAGCTCCTAGAGATGGTTGTTCAGCGTTTTCACTGCATGGAGACTGCGGGTTTGTGTGCTCGTAACCCTGGGGACAGCCCAGCCATGCACAACTGCCTTTGTGAGCTCCCCAAGGCCCACTGCAGGGTGTGACATGCCTGCAGCTGCGCCATTCGTTAGTCTTGATGCTGCTACGACACACTGAACAGAGAGGGCACAACGCTGCTCCTTGGTCTGGGTAGTTGTCCAAAGCTAGCCCCACCTCGGTGACTGGCACGGCCGCTTGCTACGGATCCTTCGCTTTCTCGTGCAGCCGAGAGCCCTGGTTATGGCAATTTCCTGGATAAGAGACCCCTTTAACAGCAAAGGTTCTAGACCAGCCCCCCGAGTCCTAAATCAATTGTAACTTTAGGGTAAGGCTAAAACTGATTGACGCCTAAGGCACATTTTAGTGCTGGTAAACTCCACCACCACCAGCCCTGCTCATCAGCAGGGACAAAGCACAACAACCGTGCATCTGTTCGTAAATGTAAAGGCAATCCAAATTAGTCCCAGCCTTGACTCCTGGCAAGCGGTGTATGGGGTTCCTAGTTTCACAAATGGGCTCTCCAGCCGGGGCTTCTTTGTCCCTTCACATGCCTTGCAAACCCAGTTCTAATATCTTATCGTCTTGACAGATCGCACAACGGAAGGCGCAGCCCATCCCCAGCAGAAAATTGAGCATGGTGTCCACCACCATGGAGGAGAACTTCCCCAAGGGGACCCTGCAGTTCCTAATGGACTTCGTGTCCTGCCACCATTACCCTCCAAAGGAGATTGTGTCCCATGTGATCAGGAACATCCTGCTGAGCTCAGAGGCTGGGGAGATGCTGAAGGATGCCTACATGCTGCTGATGAAAATTCAAATGTATGTGTTGCGTTTGCCTGGGTACCACCTGTGCTGCCTGGCTGGGGAGCATGCTTCCCCCTTATGGTGCTGGCCCACCTGGTCTCCATGGCAGGGAGAGGTCTCCTTTTCAGCACTGTGGATAAGATGTCCTGTTAGAGGCTAATGCCCCTCCTCTGTGGCTGGTACACAGATAGCCCTGCTGTGCATGCCCTTGGAGGATTGGAGGCTGCTGGCTGGTTCTACATACTAAATAGCTAGAAATGCAGGTGGGGGGGTGGGACACAGTGTGACCAGCAGGACGTGCTGGGTAAAATGGGCTTTGGGAACGTGGTTCTAACTACTTCGCGTCTTAACTTTTTAAATCAGATGTGGCCCATTCTGACGCTGGCTTGTCTGACACAGAGGTGAGGGGGTTAAAACTCTTTGCTTCAAGGTGGAGAGGACCAGGCCATGCAAGTCAGTGCAGTGAGTCCGTATGGGAAGGTACCTTCCCTGAACTCCAAGCTAGTCCATTGTTCTGGACTGGACACTGCAGGTTCCTCTTTCTCCACAACGAGTTGAGAAGTCCTTAGAGGTCTTCAGCCTGTAGAATCTGTAGCCCAAGGGATGAGTAGTGTCCATGACCTCCAGAGCATGCAAGCTCCCTGGTCAGGCTGTTCTACACAGCCACAGGGGGGCACAGGGAGGAGGAAGAAGGAAATAAGGGAAATCAGAGCTGGAGGACACTGCAATACTAGGGTGACCAGCAGAGTGTAAAAACCTGGGGCAACAGGGTTACAACAAGTGACCTGGCAGAAGGGCTGCTGAGTTCTTGGGGTTGCTTTGCCTTTTGCCCAGGCTCCAGTTGTCCCACTGAAGAGTCAAGCAATTCAGTAACCGACTGCAAATACCTGTGTCATTTCAGGCTTCATCCGGCTACCGCCACAATGGTGGGATGGGACTGGGAGCTGCTACGGTATGTCATGGAAGAACAGGTACAGTCACTGTGTCCCGTGTGGGCGTGTATGTGCGGGGAGGGCAGTGGCCATGTATTTTTCTTGTGCAGAAGGTGGGCTCACACTGAATTTCACAAGCCCTCGCAGTGCAGCAGAGGTACGTTGCTGGAGCGCCCTGCCTCCTTGCAGCTGGCGTGGGCCATTTCAACCAGCAAAGAGCAGCCTTTGGCTATCAGCATCTCCAGCAAGGCCCTGTCAGAGAGACCCCTGTCTCCTCCAGCACCTGTAGGAAATCCAGCAATGAGCCCCAACTAGGCTAGCCACACAAGCCCTACCAAGCACCACATTGGCAACTTGCCCAGAGCCTCAGGCTTCCCCTAATTTACATTAAAAACTCAGAGCGCAGCCATCCTTAATTCCTTCACTGAGGCAAAGCCCATGGTGACTGTGGGTCCTGGCAACACTTTATCTTCCTCCCGCGTGCCTGCTGGCTCAGACGGCTGTGGAGCAATGCCAGGTGGGACCGGGCACAGAATGCTGCAGCCCACACTTTGACGACCCATGGACAGGTGGGTTGAGCAGGGCCAGAGTCTAGTCTCCCAGCTTCTGGTCACAGCTCTGCCAGTGACTTGCTGAGTGAGCTCAGGCAAGGCCCTGTACTCTCTGGGACAGTTTCCCTATCTGGTGAAGAGGGTAATGGATCTACCGAGCTCCCAGGGGCTGTGTTGGGAGATCCTCAGCAAGGTGATGGAACCTTCTCCGCTCAACCACATCGCCCTTGGGGTTGCCCCTTGGGCTAGCCAGGCAAGGCACGTCCTACTTGAGGAAAAACTACCTTGGCCTTCTTGCTTGAGCATATGTACTTGTCCCTATCCATCTCCCCCCGGCCTCTGCCCCCCTAACCTTTGAGGCACCTAGAGTTCCCCTCGCCCGCTGAGCCCATCATATTGGCAGCCCTGACACGCCCAGGCGCCAGCTCTGAATCGCTCTGGGCCCGCAGGAGGAGACGCTCCCCGGGCGCTTTCTGTTCCTGCAGTATGTGGTGCAGACCCTGGAGGACGACTTCCAGCTGAACCTGAAGCTGCGCTTCCTGCAAAAATCCATTGCCAAGGAGGTGCTTTCCTGTGACCGGTGCTTCAGCAACGTCACGTAAGGCGTGCCCCCCGCGGCCCAGCCACATGCCTCGGCTGTAAGGCAGGGGCACTAAGAACCCTGATCTCCCAGGACTCAGTGCAGAGAGCTTGGGGGCCAGAGATCATGTACCTTGCCCATGGGGGAGGTTCGTATCAACAGCTGCTGGGAGGAGACTGGGGATGCCTTGCACTCAGGCTGGCCTGCTTTTTCCCAAGGACTGGGAAACAAACAGCCCTGAGAGCAGGAGGAATTCGTGCTGCTCCGCTGGTGGCACAGGGTTTATAAATCGTCATGTGGGTCCCACCCCTGGGAGCATCTCAAATGTGTCCTGCCCCATGTCCCACACTTGGTCTGTCCTTCTGTTCCAAGTGGACCTCGGGGTCTGAACGTGCAGATGGAAAGCCAGGCCCTCGTCCTAACTAACATTCACATTTCCATCCCAGGGAGGTGATTGAGTGGCTGGTTGCTGCGGTTACTGGACTTGGATTTTCCCAGCCCCGAAAGCAGCAGCTGAAAGCACCATGTCCCTCATCAGAAGCTGACGGTAGCATCTCCTCACGTGGGCCAGACTCCGCACAGAATGACAGTGAAACTGGGCAGGCAGAGGCCGTCCTACCAGCTTTCCTTTCCCAAAAGTGAGCCAAGGAGGCATTAACTCTGTCACTAAAGGCTACAGAGCTGGGCTCCTCTCAGACTAGGAAAGACACACAAGCTAGCAAGTACCTCTAGTCAAGAAAGAAAAGTGGTGCTTGCAACCTGGGTGCCCTGCTTGCCAGCAGCTTAGGTTCAACCTGACCATGTTTAGGCCCCACTGTAACTGATCCTACCACCTGACTGGAAGGGAGCCACTTATGCAGCAGGGATCCTGCCCTGCCTCAGAATGGCCCCAGGAGATCATCTGACAATCATACATTGGGGCAGGAAGCCCTTTGCTAGAGCAAACAGGCTGGCAGGAGCAGCAGCTATGCAGGCTTCACCTTGCTGCCCTGCCACTGTGCCTCCCGCCTGACCTTGAGGAACCTCAGCCCTTACCTCTGCTTCCAAGGATGCTAGGCAGAGCGGTGCTTTTGTGCAAGATAACCAGTGTCCCCTAGAAACTGGACTGAGCCCACCTACTCAATCCCCATAGGCCCTTGACAGTCCAGTGGTACCACGTTTACACTGTCTGCTGGGGGCACATTTGAAGCAGAGCTCAACTCTTGGTCCTCTGGATTCTCTGAATGGGGGAGGAGGCCTATGCTGTTATGCTTCAGACACAGGCAGACGCATTGGGAAGAAGCCCCACCTGTCGCCTAACTCTTGTTCTCTGGCCTAGGGTGGTGCTGCTTCTCCAGAGGATGCTGTCCATAGCCGTAGAGGTGGACAGGTCTCCCAATTGTAGCACCAATAAGATTGCCAATGTGATATTTCTATACTTGGTGAACATTCCTCTGAGGAGCCAAAGGTGAGAGAGACCGATCCATTGTTCCTTCTTGCTGGGGCTGGTTTGATTCCTGTGCTTACCCCCAAACCCATCTGCAGCTAACAGCTTAGCTAACTGGAACACACGTGGAGGGGCAGAATAGCCCCTAGCAAGTGAAGCGGTGGCCAGCATGGGGGACTTAGAAAGACTGGGATGGACAGACCAGAGCTGATTTTGATAATCACATCAAGGATCTGAGACAGCCCTACTGTGATTGGCTCCATCTTCCCCGGTTCTGTTGCGGGGAGGGGATACCCACCCTGACTGCACCAAGAAGAGAGAGTACATTGGTGTTCAGACAATCAGGGTCATGTACTTGGGCAGGTGAGGCCTGCATAGTAGTGGCAACTGGGGGCAGAGATCAGTGCAGCACCTAAAGCTTTAGGGCGACCCATTTCAGTTTCCCTGTGTAAAAGAGCTGTAAAGCCTAGGCTCCAGGTCCTGTCTACCTGATGGTTTCAGCCAGCCAATCAACTCTTACTTTCCTGACCCGCCATGGACAGAGCTGGGTCCTAAGAACCAGGCTAGCCAGACTCCGTGTCTTCCACAGACTAGAGCCCAGATGTGCTCCCAGTGAGTGTTAGAAGCAGCCCTGCTGAGGAACACTCTTGGTGCTGCCCGTGGGTCCCCATCGATCCCACATGTGAAAGCACGTTAGGGACTTGCTCAGAGCAGGGCTAAACCTCATTTCCATCATGCATTGAGAGGACTTAAGCACGTGTTAACACTGGACATCTGACCAACGCTCTCCCCCTTGTTCTCCTGGGACTTTAAGGGTGCTGCCCACCCCTCAGCAGCTCTTCCCCTCCTTTCAGTCATCCGTGCAGAGGCAGCCTCCAGCTGGCTTTCTTGGGGGAGGAGTGACTAGCCAGGAAAGCTGTTGGCACTTCCCTCTCACCTTTGCTGCTCCAGTAGGGTAGCATGGGGGCCGAGCAGAATGCCCCAGGCACTTAGTTCTGTCTAAAAGCCTCCCCTCTTCTGGTGCTAACCCCCCATTAAAATAAATTTAAAAACCACTTGGCTGTGGCATAGACTGCAGCGAGAGCAACGGGCAGGGCAGCCCCTTCCTTGCTACAGCAGACCCAGCACGGTCCTGCAATCTTTCATCCTGCTTGGGGCACCAGTGGTCCCAGCACTGGTCTGGCCGAGGTGAACACAGTCCAGGGACAGTGCTTACTGGCACTGCTGGGGGCTCATCCCCGCAGGACCTGCTGGCTGGTACGTCACCCAGTCTCAAGGCAGTCCAGCTGTGCTGCGCTCGGCAAGGGCAGACTCTCCTGCCCAGCCTGCCTTCCTGGCTGAAGGGACTGTCTTGACCTGGAGTAAACACGGGCGGATCCTAATGAAGTGAACAGCTGGGGCAGGCTGACGGGCTAACGAGCATCTTGGTAACTAGGCTGGCCGCCGGGCTTGCGCTCAGCACTCCGGAAGCCCTGAAAATGGAGTTCCATTGTTGCATGCTCCTTCCCTATCGTCGCCATGCCAGTATCCCCTCAGCATGCTTGGCCTTGGGCTGGGGCAGGTGCTGGTGGCTCACAGGCTGCCCTAGCCTCTGCTTCCCTCTCCATTCCCTTGTTACTCTCGCTCCTTTCTTCCAGGGAGGCCTTCTTAAACAGCATGGAGAGCCAACTCCTGCGCTGCAAAGTGCTGGAGCTCCTGTTCCACCACAGCTGTGCCATACCAGCCTCCTTGCCCTTGTCTCTGAGCAAGATCCTGCATTTCCTGAGCTGCCATTCTCTGCTGCTGCAGTATCAGGTATCGCCCTCCTCCTCCTTCCCTGCCCTGGTCTTTCTTAGAGACCCCTCCTGGTAATCAAAGCTCTGCTCTTTGCACAGGACCACGAAGTAACGTGGCAAAGATGGGATGAGATGCTTCAGGACTTGATTTTACTGTTGATAAGTTACCGCAACGTTGTGCTGGGTAAGCAGCCTCTGTTAATGGCCTAGCAGCCTAGCCCAGCCTTAGTGTGTATGCTCTGACCCAGAGGAGCCAGACCACCCACGGCCCCCTTCACACCAAAGCAGCTGCAACCTCACTTTTCAGTTCCAGAAAGCTGCAGCATCTCCTGCTGGGAGCAGCTTGGAGTACAGTACATGAGAAACCATCCAGGCTCATCTCCAAAGGAACAATTCTACCCCATGCCACCAAAGTCAAACTCCCAAGAATTAGCCTGTTCCCAAAGGGTTTGCAGCACAATGCGTTCCTAGTTATTCTGTAAAGGGCTCAACCTGCAGTGCCCTCCCTGGGCAACCCTCTGGGTGGTGTGCAAGCCAGCTCTGCGGAAAGACAGGGCTGATAGGTGAAAGCCCTGGCTCAGGTGGGGAAGGGAAAGAAGGGGAAGACACTAGATTAATCTGGAAACAATAGAGGCTTAAGGTCTAAAATCTGATTTTTGGGACAGTTACAAAGGCCTCTTCCCTGCTAGGAAACTACTTTAATGTACTTCTCCTCCACACTGGTGGGCTCTGCATTCACACCCCCCATGTGCATTTAGTAACTATTAAACCTGACACCACCTACACACACACCCCCCTCCTTCTCGGTCCTAGCCTCCCAGAGCAGAGACTTTTCCAGGCATGTTAGGCAGCTGGCAAGCAGGAGAGTCTTCTGACAATGAAAGAGGGGTGTTGTAAATCTCTGTGGGGCTGGAACTCTCTCCTACTTTGCAGAACACGGGGCTGTTCAGAGTTGGGGGATGACACATTGCAACGGAAAGTCAGCTCCAAGCGTAACCCTGGGATGCATGCCACTTTTCCTACTGGTTCTGTGCAATCACTCTTCACCATGGGGCATGTACTGACTTCAACTGGAGCGGGGTCAGACACTGCCCCATAGCCGCCTTGTACTAACAAGTTGACCTTACCAGCATTTCCTTTTGCAGGACACTTAAGAAGTTCACTCAGTGAGCGGATGGATTTAATCATTTCAAATGCCAAACCCCAGCTACAGGATAATGACAGTATCACCACAGTGGACATTGAGCTGCATGTCAAGGACTTCAGCAGCTGGCTGCTGCAGATCCTGGGGAAGCCCCTTCCCCCGCAGATCAAAGACAAGGTGTGTGTGCTTCAAGCACTGCTGCTCACCGCTGCTGCCACCACCTGACAGGAAAAGGATGCTCGCAAGGGAGCTGTGGACCTGGCTTTCAGTGCCAGGCAGCAGCCTGGTCAAACATCAGTTGCCCCACTATTCAGTTCTGGTCATATAGTTTGTGGACCGAGGAGTCTCCTACCCTCCTCTGAAATCTGCTTCTCCTTGTGCAATCTGTGTATAGAGTTTTTTCAATTAAATTATTTTCCTGCTTGATGAGGTTCTTTCCTCAAGCTACCAGTAACAATCTAGCCCATGCTCAACTTCTGAGCCCTGCAGCTGCATTCAAAAGCTGGCACCACCTCAGAAAGTGCTGGCTGTCCTACTCTGACGGGGGAAGTACTTGAAGAAGCTTGCCTCGTTTGGTTTTAGCTGGCTACCCAAGACAGGCAAGAGCTCAGCGCGGGCAGCGTATGGAAGTAGCACAAGAATGGTAGATGCTGCAGCCCGAAAGTCTTTCGGCAGCAGCTATATTTGGATTCCTGGGCTGCACTCAGCACTGCGGTATCTGACCACGTACGCTCTGACTGAACAAGCTGATTGCAAGAGTGACGGCACCTCCTCTGGTGGAGCCATTCCTTTAGTTGGCTACTGCTATCCAGCCATGTCCTGGATAGCTGCTTCACTCTATAGACCAAGGGTGGCCAAACTTACTGACCCTCAAAGTCACAGACTATAATCTTCAGACGTTCGAGAGCCAGGCACACCTGCCAGGGCTCAGAGCTTCTCCCCGTGGCAGCTGGTGGGGCTAGGGGCTGAAGCCCTGAGCCCCCGCAGGCACCTCCACCAGGGCAGTAACCCCTAGACCCACCCCCTCCCCACAGGGCAGAAGCCCCTAGCACCCCCCTAGTCTGACAGGTGGAGAATGTTAGTTAACTAGCATCTTCTGAGTGGAAGCTTTTCCTATCAACCCTCTATCCCCACATGGTACAGCAGAGTTCTCAAAACAGGCCAGAGCAGTCTACATGTCCTGCCCACTAGAGGACTAAGCCACGCCTCCCTCAGGGTCACCTCTGCTTCACAGCATCTATTCCTCAAGGGAGCTAGTTCTGGGTTGCAGTATTCAAAGATAGCTAGCTGTCTTGTATCCACAAGTCCTGCCCTGCCAGTAACCGCTGAGCACAGGATGCAAGTTTGTATTAGGCAGATGGACTAAAGCTGTAGGTAAAGCAAAATGATGACAAACTAGTTACAATATACTTCCTCTAGAGATGAGCTGACCTAGAAAGCAATGCTAAGACTGGAAAATTCTCTCTTCCTTCCCCCATCCCCTTTCACAGTGGCTTTATTCCTTGCAGTCAAGGAGTCAGGAAGCACACCTTGCTCTGAAGTGGTTGAGGCAGACCCAGGAACTAGGAAGAGAGACTGGACAGTTTAATGTTTCAGAACAATCTGCGTGCCTCTCTCACACTTATATAGCACCACTATCCTATCCGAACACTGCCCCTCTAAGGGATTTACCCTCATAAGTCCCCTGTGATGCAGTGTACAAACCCCACACTGGGAGAGAAGGGGTTAAAAGACTAGACTGGGCCCAGCTAGCCCTGCCCCTCCAACCCTACTGAGCATGCTCCAGCTGGAGACAGGATTGAAAAGGGGCCCAGCTCAGAGGGGGCAGGCTGGGGAGGAGTGCAGACCTACCATGCAGGCTCCTGCCAAAGGAGATGGGTTGTGTGTTCAGCCCAGCTGGGGCTAACTGTTTGCGCTTCTGGTCCCAATGAGGAAAAAGGAAACTAGAGAGCAGTGCTGGGAAGTGACTCAGGAAGGGTAATACAGAAGGTCCACATTCCCCACCCCAGAGGTCAACACTGCTGACCCTCCCAGGGCCATGGGGCAAAGTCCAGTGGAGGGGGCAGGCCCATGCTCCCTTACCACTGCCCCAGCCCCTGGCTGAGTGGACACTAACCACTAAACCACCCAGCTCAGCAAGGACCGTACTACAAACCCTCTACAGCAGGTGACACGGGTGCCATTTGCTTTTCGTACCACAACCCTGGTCAACAGTGCAGCTCTACCAGTCACATTTCACTTCCCATTTCATGCATGCTAAAAGGACAGCAAGCAGAAGCTGAGTTTTCCTACCTACTGTGCAGTGACTAGGTCTGTAGACACTGTCACTCTCGCCCCTCTGAAAGCCAGGGCACTTAGTTTAGTAACCTAACAAGGGGTCTATGAGCCTGCCTTTTAGGGACCCAACCTTGCCAGTTTTGAAGGGTAAGTTAAGGGCAGGAGTGGTACCTGAAGCCCTGTGATGCTCTTACAATACAAATGTATGGTTTTTTACATTCGTCTGTGTTGAAGGATCTGCAGAAATAACCCCCTGCACCAGAGACAATGAATGTGTCAACAGTACTAGGAAATAAACATAGGGGAGAGGGGGTAGAGTTCTGCTCTTCCAGGAGAGTACACCGAAAGCATTTTCTAATGATGAGTACATGGTTACTCCAGGTGGGAGGCACATTTGTTTAAGAGCAACAGCAAGCACACGCATGCCCCTTCTCCAGAACTTGGAAGTTGGTCTTTTAGGTGACATTTCCCAGCTTTGGTCTCTGCCTAGAGGCGATGAGCTGGAGGAAGCGAGCACAAACGGCTCAACTATTTGAGTAGAAGAAAAGCGGTTTCTTTTTGCAATTCTTTCTTTTCTCCCTGCTCCCAGATTAAAAATACCTTGGGAATCCAACAGCCACAGCAGCAAAGCTATTGGGAGTAGAGTTCACATCAACAGCATGAAAGAGCTATAGCAAAGACCCTGCTGAAAACAGGGTTTGATTTCATCAAGTTCTAACTGTTCAATTACAATTATAAACTTCATTGTACCTCTTCAAAGTGTAATATTCAGTTCAAAGTGAGTGCTACTCAAGGAATGTTGTTTATGCACACAGCTAACTGCATACTGAACAATGCAGGGAAGAGACACCCTTTTGTGTACCCTGTTAGCTGTGGAGGGCAGGGTACTGCAGTGGCATCAAGCCACATGCTTCAGTGTTTCCTTTTTAAAAGAAAAAAAAAAAGTCAAAGCTAGATGAGAGAGGCATGGTTACCTGTGTACCGCACTGCTGCCACACAAACTGTTTTATAGCCTTAGATAACCATCTAGCATATTTCCCAGGAGGTTGGCTACACTTACTGAAATTGAGAGGGCCACATTATTCCCCAGGCATGGGGAAAATGACCATTTACCTGCCTGGGAGCTGCACATCATCCAAGTACAGCTTAAGAACGTGAGGAAATCCCCCACCAATGGCTTTCCATTGGCTCTGGTTTCATGAGCACTTCTATTCAGTAAGTTCTGAAATAGCACCACCCCCTCCCTTCGGGCCCAGACTACACACCACTATCTTCCTTCCAAGACAGGATAGTACACAGCAATGGACTTTGCAATGCAAAAAAAGAAAAATGATGCCACTGTGACTGAACTTGTGCCTACATGTCACAGATCAGACACAGACAAGTTAATGAGTTACTCAGCAAGGAGCAGAGCGCCCGGTTGGGGTTCAGGTGTGTTCTTATTTCCTTCCGGCACTTTACCTGCTGTGCTGCTGCAAGACCCACCACAGGTCTCCATTCACAAGGGCTTTTATTCTCATGTAACAGTTAGGCACATTTAAAAGAAAAAAAAAAAGCACAAACTGCACAAATAAATTAATGGAAGCCAAAGTCGTCCGATTACCACTGATCACACACACTTCCAATCCATAATGACAACTGATTACTAGGGAAGGAGTCCTTGGTGCTATCAATGCAACACATGTGACAGGTGTTGCCATTAGTGAGGAAGTTTGAAATGAAGCTGTGCTACAAACCACGTTTCTTCAAAGAGGGGGACATGAGCTAACCACTGCAGTGTGGTCAGGACATAGCCTCTCTGTGGAGCTCCAAGGAAAGACATTTCACTATAAGAGGCTTTTAACACTGGCTGCAACAAGACTGGGCCTTACATGCCATCTGACTGCTACAGTGACCACTATGGAAAGGATAGTTCAGGCCAGTACCTGTCAAGGAATCTAAAGACTCTGGAGTGACCAGTTTGCCACAGGGCAAGTATGGAGATTTCACACTAAGCCTCCTTCCATTGCTTGGTGAATTAGAGGCTGCTTAGAAGTTTCTTCCCCACTTCTGTGGAGGAAGAGACATGAAGGTGCGTGTTGACTGTTCCCCATGAATGTGTATAAATCTAGGCTAAGAAAAATATTAAGTCTTACCAGAGCACAGGAGGAATGTTTAAGATTAAATTCTCCCTTAGTCCCCCTCAATGCCTGCAAGCATGAATCTGATGTTGAGAAATAAAGATCCTTCATAAGAGGGACTGTCCACGTCCCTTTCTCTAACTGCTACATCCCCTCCACACCTACCTCTTACAAGATACAACTCCAAAACAAAGCCCTAGAGAGAAAGTGCCACATCAACTGCAGTTCCATTTGTGCTCCCCACTGAAAGCAGCAGAATGGCGCCAGCATGCAAAGACCTGAGAAGAAGATAAGGGTTTAGTTCAAGCCACACTAGCTCTGGTCATTTCCTTCTCTGGGCCCACTGGAAAATGAAGCCCTTTGACAGCAGAAGTAAAAGTTTCCCCGCTGCCACCAAGCACCAGTACAGAACTGCACAACAGAATTTAACACTAAGGGCCGATCTTTAGAATGGTCACTGTTCATGGATCAATTACCCTTTAAACAAAGAAACCCAAAAAGAAACAAACACTAGATGTGGAACGACTATAAGCAGACATTACAAAGCAGGGGAGCTAGACGGTTATGTAAGGGAATCTTGATAGAGAACCTCAGTGAATGCTCCAGTTCTTGACAGGCTTGGCTGGAGGTGTTTGGTCTCTAGCACAAGGCCACCAGCTGCTGGTGTCGTCTAGATCCTAGAGAGAAGCATGTTGTCCTTCTGGCGACTTGACTAGGGCACTGAGCAGAGGAGAAGTAGAAGCCTAGAACATAGCTGGGCAGGACAGCCCTCAGCACAGCATGATGCTCAGGAAGAGGCCTCCCAACAAGGTGGGGATTTTCAGGTTCTAGAGCAGTGCACATCTCCCAGTGGAATCTTGCTGTAGAGATAAATATGACTGCAACGGATAAAGGACGGTTTATATGGACTTGGTGCTATTACAGAAACTTTCTAAAAAAACCAGGAGACTCAGGCTGCACTACAGAAGCAGTGACAGTTGTTTTCCAGATCTTGTTTCTGTCTCATTGGTGCTCTGACGTGGAAGAAAG